TACCGGCACCTCCATCCCCGCCCGAACCGGGTCCAACCCCGCCGGTACCGGCACCTCCATCCCCGCCCGAACCGGGTCCAACCCCGCCGGTACCGACACCTCCATCCCCGCCCGAACCGGGTCCAACCCCGCCGGTACCGGGCCCAAACCCCAAACCTCCATCCCCTCCCGGTGCCGGTACCGGGGATTTCCATCCCCTCCCAGCACCGGTACCAAACCCCCATCCCCTGCCGGTGCCGGTACCGAACCCCCATCTCCTTCCGGTACTGGTACCGAACCCCCATCCCCTCCCGGTACCGAACCCCCATCCCCTGCCGGTGCCGGTAGCGGAGCCTCCATCCCCTCCCATCACCGTTACCGGAGCCCCATCCCCTCCCGGTCCCGTTACCGGAGCCCCATCCCCTCCCAGCACCGGTACCGAACCCCCATCTCCTCCCGGTACCGAACCCCCATCTCCTCCCGTTGCCAGTACCGGAGCCTCCATCCCCTGCCGGTGCCGGTACCGGAGCCCCCATCTCCTCCCGGTGCCGGTACTGGTGGTCGCCCATTCCCTCCAATCACCGTTACCGGAGCCCCCATCCCCTCCGGGTGCCGGTACCGGGAGTCTCCATCCCCTGCCGGTGCCGGTACGGGATCCTCCATCTCCTCCCGGTGCCGATACCGGAGCCCCCATCCTCTCCCGTTGTCAGTACCGGAGCCTCCATCCCCTCCCGGTACCGAGCCCCCATCCCCTCCCGGTACCGAGCCCCCATCCCCTCCCGGTACCAGGGCTCCCATCCCCTGCCGGTGCCGGTACCGAGCCCCCATCCCCTCCCGTTGCCAGTACCGGAGCCTCCATCCCCTGCCGGTGCCGGTACCGGAGCCCCCATCCCCTCCCGGTACCGAACCCCCATCCCCTCCCGGTACCAGGGCTCTCATCCCCTCCCGGTGCCGGTACGGGATCCTCCATCCTCTCCCGTTGCCAGTACCGGAGCCCCCATCCCCTGCCGGTACCGAGCCCCCATCCCCTGCCGGTACCGAGCCCCCATCCCCTGCCGGTACCGAGCCCCCATCCCCTGCCGGTGCCGAGCCCCCATCCCCTGCCGGTACCGAGCCCCCATCCCCTCCCAGCCCCGGTACCGGGGGTCCCACCCCGCCCCCGCCGCCGCCGTGCCGGTGCGGGCTGGGGGTGGGGGGGGCCCAGCCCGGTGCCGGGGCGGTGCCGGGGCGGCGCCGGGCGGCGGTGCCGGTGCCGGGGCGGTGCCGGTGCCGGTGCCGGTGCCCCGGAGCCGCGCTCACCATTTGAGGGGCTTGTGCAGAGCCGTGGCCATTTTGCGCCGCCGGGGCCGCTCCGCGCTCGGGGAGGGGGCGGCGGGGCTCGGCCCCCCCTCCCCTCCCCCGCTGCCCCCCCGGGGCCGCCGCCGAGCCCGCGGGACCCCCGCCCGCCCCGCCCCTCCCCCCCCGCCCCGCGCTGCCGGTGCCCGCCGGTACCGGGCGGGGGGGAGGGGAGGGGGGCAATGGCGGCGGGGCGGCGGGACTACAACTCCCGGCGTGCCCCGCGCGCCGCTGGTTGCCTGGGGGAGCTGTCAATCACCGCAAAGGGGCGGGGCTAAGGGCGGGGCTCCCTCCTGTCAGTGCTATTGGGGGGGGGCCAGGGAGCCCCAAAATCGCCCGAAATTCCATCAAAATCCTCCAAATCCTCCCCAAAATCCATCCAAATCCCCCAAATCCTCCCCAAAATCCATCCAAATCCCCCCAAAATCCATCAAAATCGCCCAAATCCTCCCCAAAATCCATCCAAATCCCCCCAAAATCCATCCAAATCCCCCAAATCCTCCCCAAAATCCCCCAAATCCTCCCCAAAATCCATCCAAATCCCCCCAAAATCCATCAAAATCCCCCAAATCCTCCCCAAAATCCCCCAAATCCTCCCAAAAATCCGCTAAAATCCTCTCCAAAATCCTCCCCAAAATTCCATCAAAGTCCCCTAAATCCTCCCTAAAATCCATCCAAATCCCCCAAATCCTCCCCAAAATCCCCCAAATCCTCCCCAAAATCCACCCCAAATTCCCCAAATTCTCACCAAAATCCCCCCAAAATCCCCAAAATCCTCCCCAAAAATCCATCAAAAAACTCCAAGTCCTTCCCAAAAAATCCCCAAATCCCTCAAAATCGCACCAAAATCCACCCCAAATCCTCCCAAAGCCCGCGGAATCCACCCCAAATCCCCCCAAAAATCCCAAAATCCCCCAAATCCTCCCCAAAATTCCCCAAAATCCCCTGGAAATATCCCCAAAATCCACTCAAAATCCCCCAAATCCGCCAAAATCCCCCAAATTCCCCAAATTTCCCCCAAAAATCTCCCCAAATCCTCTCAGAGACTCCCGAAAAACCCCAAATCCCCCCAAAATTCCCCCAAATTTCCCCAAAAAATCCCCAAAAATCCCCCCAAAAATCCCCCCAAATCCCCCAAAATCTCCCAAATTACCCCAAAATCCCCCCAAACCCCCCCAAAAT